GTTACTCTCAAATTGATATACTCCTTCCGTTCACTTTTGTAAGAGCGTTTAGACATTTAAGATAACACTTAAGACGTTCAATTTAGCTGTCTAAAACATCTTATAAAACTGAACAGAGGGAGTATTAAATTTCAATAGATCCAATTTCTTCCCATCACCTTTAGGAATTAGGATCTTGGGTCCCACACCATGTGTAAGCAACTGAAATCTCAAATGATCAAAGTTAACGACAGAGACAGGCCTAGGGCAGTTGAGGCTGTAACCCGCCTTGTAACAATAGTCTCTTTTACAATTTCGTCTGAGTATACAAAATTACCAAGTGCATCACTCAAGCTAGCTTCGTCCTAGGCGTAACCCGATGCTAGGCGATACAAAATTCTAGAGTGAGAGACAAAGCAGAGGAATTTTATAGCCGGAAAAAAAGGGAAGACCTTTTGCTATTGAAACGTAGCTTTTGCTCCAGCTTTGTTAATAAGCACTGCCGAACTATGCACTGTTTTCCCCTATTTTTTTTAATGCAGGCGCATACCACCGAACTAAGCACTGTTTTCCCCTACAGAAGCAATTAAGTACCAACTTTACCGGACTGCCGGTTGTTTATCACGTTTGGAAACCCTGCAAGTGCAAATCAACAACATTTTAATTTACTTTTCTCTTCCTAAGGAAAGAAGACAACACCTCTTTCTACTTCAACGAGTTACATGTACTCCACATGGAATCTCTCCTACCCGATTAGTTCGGCAGCGGAATCAGATTAGCCGCAACAACTCACGCGATTAAGTATCTTAAAATCCTTGACTACCGCAGCCATTGAACCAAGTGTGAATTGTTGCGTGTTGCATGAGGTTCGTAGTCCACTGACGGAGAAGAGAGATGCGGAAACATGCAATGAATTGCCCAGCCTTGTTCTAAACGAAACAAGCAAATTAATCAGACTAACTACCCACCACAAAAGGCTGAGCTTGTCAGCTTTGCACATGATTCGATCAAATTGGCATATTTTACCTGCTCGTACACTTGCCATGCGCAGAGAGGCACCATCTAGCAACCGGGTCATCTCACTGTCGCCACGCGTGTAGATCAGCTCTCTACTGCTTCGGTGGAGGCACGTCTTTCTCACTTTAGGTCTTTAAGATCGAGCGCGATGACTTTAAGATGAGCAGGATGATGATGAGTCGACACCAATCACAGATTCCACTGGCAACATAGAGATGCAATCATACAATGTTCGGCAACGGAGGAAACTTAAAAGCACCAGAAAATATGAAGATCTTCTCGCGGTGCTTCATATGGTTGATAAAATGTTTTCCTTCTTCATACAAAGATGAGTGTTTTTTTTTACTCATCACCTCTAGAGTTGATTCTTCTTCTCTACGTGCACTGTACATGAAGGACCCCTCGCGACCCCTCCCCAGGGCGCTGCCAGGGGGCGATCTCAGCGCCGCCAGCAGCCAACACGAGGCAGCCTCTCCTCCGCCGCTGCCGCCAGCTTAGGCCGCGGTGGCAGCGGGCCCGGTGCCAAAGGGGCCGGGTTGCTGGATGCGACGGCATCCCTCATGGATCGGCTAGGACGAGTCCAATGAGGAGCACGTGCGGAGCGGCCAGGGCGGCGCCCCTGGTCATGCAGTGGCGGTGCTAGCTCCCGTGGTCGTTGGGAACCGGTGGGTTTTCTTGCGATGGTGGGCATGGCGTGTTGGGGAACGTAGTATAAATTCAAAATTTTCCTATGTGTCACCAAGATCTATCTATGGAGTCATCTAGCAACAAGGGAGGAGTGGATCTACATGCCCTTGTAGATCGCGCGCAGAAGCGTTCAAGAGAACGGGGTTGATGGAGTTGTACTCGTCGTGATCCAAATCACCGATAATCCTAGCGACGAACGGATGGCACCTCCGCGTTCAACACACGTACGGAGCAGCGACGTCTCCTCCTTGATCCAGCAAGGAGGAAGGAGAGGTTGATGGAGATCCAGCAGCACGACGGCGTGGTGGTAGAAGTAGCGGGATTCCAACAGGGCTTCGCCAAGCGCTGCGGGAGGAGGGAGATGTGTCATGGGAGGGAGAGGGAGGCTCCAGGGCTTAGGTGTTGCTGCCCTCCCTTCCCCTCACTATATATATGGCCAAGGGAGGGGGGGGGGGCGCAGCCTTGGCCCTTCCTCCAAGGAAGGGTGCGGCCAGGGAGGAGTCCATCCTCCCCAAGGCACCTCGGAGGTGCCTTCCCTCTTTAGGACTCTTCCTTTCCCTTATCTCTTGGCGCATGAGCCTCTTGGGGCTGGTGCCCTTGGCTCATACAGGCCAAGGCGCACCCCCTACAGCCCATGTGGCCCCCCGGGGCAGGTGGCCCCACCCGGTGGACCCCCGGGACCCTTCCGGTGGTCCCGGTACATACCGGTGATCCCGAAACTTGTCCCGATAGCCGAAATAGCACTTCCTATATATAATTCTTTACCTCCGGACCATTTCGGAACTCCTCGTGACGTCCGAGATCTCATCCGAGACTCCGAACAACTTTCGGGTTACCGCATACTAATATCTCTATAACCCTAGCGTCACCGAACCTTAAGTGTGTAGACCCTACGGGTTCGGGAGACATGCAGACATGACCGAGATGACTCTCCGGTCAATAACCAACAACGGGATCTGGATACCCATGTTGGCTCCCACATGTTCCACGATGATCTCATCGGATGAACCACGATGTCAAGGACTTAATCAATCCCGTATACAATTCCCTCTGTCTAGCGGTACGATACTTGCCCGAGATTCGATCGTCGGTATCCCGATACCTTGTTCAATCTCGTTACCGGCAAGTCTCTTTACTCGTTTCGTAACACATCATCCCGTGATCAACTCCTTGATCACATTGTGCACATTATGATGATGTCCTACCGAGTGGGCCCAGAGATACCTCTCCGTTTACACGGAGTGACAAATCCCAGTCTCGATTCGTGCCAACCCAACAGACACTTCCGAAGATACCTGTAGTGTACCTTTATAGCCACCCAGTTACGTTGTGATGTTTGGCACACCCAAAGTACTCCTACGATATCCGGGAGTTGCACAATCTCATGGTCTAAGGAAATAATACTTGACATTAGAAAAGCTTTAGCATACGAACTACATGATCTTTGTGCTAGGCTTAGGATTGGGTCTTGTCCATCACATCATTCTCCTAGTGATGTGATCCCGTTATCAACGACATCGAATGTCCATGGTCAGGAAACCATAACCATGTATTGATTAACGAGCTAGTCAACTAGAGGCTTACTAGGGACATGGTGTTGTCTATGTATCCACACATGTATCTGAGTTTTCTATCAATACAATTCTAGCATGGATAATAAACGATTATCATGAACAAGGAAATATAATAATAACCAATTTATTATTGCCTCTAGGGCATATTTCCAACATGGCGGCGGCCGCGGATCTGGATCCCACCCAGATCCGTCGTCGATTTTTCACATGGATGGTCAGTGGTGCGATCAGGGCTTCAGTGAGAGGATGGAGGGTCTCCGTCGGAGTATCGACGGCGGCATATGTCTTCAATGGAGAAGCTCTGCGCGGTTCCAACCAGCTGCGAGATCGGGATGACGCGGCTTCCGATGAAAATTGCGCCTAACTGCGGTCTTGGCGGGCGATGGCGGCGTCTCTGACGTCGTTTCTTTATCGAGGCATCGTCATTGCAGGTCACATCAACTCGATCAGGATGTTCTGGGAGAAACCCTAGATTTGGGTCTACCGGATCGGGTGATGAGAGCGTTCGGTATCGTTCTCTATCCTGGGGGCATCGTTTTGGAGCAAGTGCCGGCCGGAGGGGACAAGAGGAGGAGCGGTGTTACATCTACCGCAAGGCCGACGGCGGATCACGGCGGCATGGCGCTGCGGAGTTTCGCCGTCAGGCGTGTGTGGATGGATACGTGCAGGATGGTGGCGTTGTTTGGCGCTGTGGTGGCGTCGACAACAGGACTGGCAAGGTCGGTGCGTCAGTATCGGCTCTGAAGATGGATCGGTGGAAGACGGTGGCGACGGCCTCTGAGAGTGCACCGGACCGGTGTGTGACCCATACTCGACAATGCGGCTTGGTGGGACATCCGGCTTTACATGTTAGGCTTTGGTGCGATGTCTGTTTGGTATTCGGCTCACCCTTCATCAAGTAGATAGGAGTAGTGATAGATGTTGCCAAGATGGTGACTTCAGACTTACTTATGTATTGTTTTGTAAGGTCTTTCTAAATAATTAATAAAATGGTTGCATACGTCGTCCAGATGCAGAGAGATTGGGGTCGTCCTCCTTTAAAGAAAATCCTCTAGAGTTGTGGGTATTAGTTAACAACCCCCAGACTTGCTATTTTGTGTTGCCTCGGCTCTAAAGGTTGTGTATTTGCTTGTCCATAAATTAGGTTTTAAATTTCAGTATCAGAAATATTTTAGCAGTTGCCGAAATCAATGAATGTCACTGAAACTCAGTTATTTCAGTTTTAGTTCGATCAAAGGACCAAAATTTCCAATTGAATTTGACAGAGGTCCAATCAAATATTATGAAAATCCAAGAAATAATTTAATAATTATTTGATTTTGCGTGTGCTACCAAAATTGCTGAAATATTTTGATCTAAAGGCAATTATTTCAGTATGTACCGAAACTAATGAAATTTCTGAAATCTCAACGAAATTACACTGAAAGTGAAAACTATCAACTTGTGGATAGTTTACATTCAGCTTCAGAGCTGTAACATCGTGATATATAGTTGGAGCGCATAGGCTGTTACTTTTATTGTTCAGTGGTCTTAAAGAAAATCGCCACTACAAGGACGACAGAGCAGCAGCTGATAATTGTGTCCCTACATACTTAATCCCCTATGGCAACCACCACTGAACATTCCAGACAACAAACGGCGACAGCTGCTGCTTGCTCCTGGAGCCTATAAATGGAGGTCCCATCATCCCAAGCCATGGAAGGCAAATCCTGACATCTCCTCCCCCGCCACGAAAGCACAAGCATGGCTCGCGCCATGACCGCCACCGCCGGCAACGGCGACGTGTGGGTGGAGAAGGTGGACAAGATCAGGTACGTCTACAACGCCGTCACCAGGCCTTCTGTTTCCCCTAACCCGAGGCCGGCGACGGTGACGAAGAAGCTGGCCGCCGCCAACGTCGCCATCTCCAGGAAGAACAGCGGGACGACCCTGGTCCGCGGCGTGGCCTCGCCGGAGGACATCGACGACTACATCGCCAGGAAGAAGAGGGAGTTCGCTCTAGGCCTGTAGCTCAAATGGATTAGTATCCACGATGGCATGATCATGAGCTAGGATGCTTTAAATTAACTAGTTAGCTATGAAAGCTGCGTGTTGCGGTTGTGATTATGGAGTATGATATGGAGTTGGTCATGCTCATGCATCAACTTAATTAGCGTGTGCGCCATAAGTTCTAAGCATGTTTCTTCAGGTGTTGTTCTTTTATGTCTTGTCTGAATTAAATTCTAGTATGTTCCAATGGTCATTTCAGTTTTCTGAATAAATCTTGAATGGCTCTTTTGGATGCTTCATCTCAGCAGGCAGAGAGTTGATTACATCAATTTTCGCATGATCATGTGACCCCACTGAGTTTTGTATTCTGCTTTCTGTTGCCCCACGCTACCTGGAGTGGATAGACACCAGACACCTTGATGGGAATAAAGTATGCAAGATCTTTGGACCCGATTAAGCAAGAGGATTCTTCATCTTAGGTGATCGAATTGTGATATTCACGCGTAGGCTCTTATCTTGAACGGGACTGTTTCCAAATATATGTGAATTTGTCTCTAGCTTGCTAGTGAGCATCTCTAGCCTTTCCCCGTAAAATTTACAACTTCTCAAAAAAATACTTGTTTGAGAAGCCACCTCTTCTAGCCCTTCCCCAAGGCCATTAACTCCTCAAAGTTGCCCCTCAAAACTTCCACCCTCCCTTCAAATTTGAGAAGCTCCTACCGATTCTTCGTAAACCTTCTCTCTCCACCCTGTCACTAGATCTCAAGGTGCAACAGTTGGCACGCCGCCGGAACAAACGTGTCACGACTATAAATTCCCTGCGTTGCCCCTCCTTCCCAGTCAGGGCATTGTCCGAGTGCCCCCCTAGCCCGACCATGGTGAGGATCCGACCCACTATGTTGACGTAGTTCTCGACGTGATGTTGTGCCAAAATCCAACAGAGGGCGCTACAATCATCGCCGTGGTGCAGCACACGACCGCGGTTGCCGACTCGAGCTCCACTCTTGCAATAGGCTTTTGCTCCGCTTTATAGATAAAGCAAAGATTCATACAACCAACCTCCAGATAAGCTATAAAGGCGACGATGGGGCAACAACACAATAATGCCCAAGGAGAAATATAAGAGAAAAGAAAAACAAGGCCACCTAGTGGCGGTTGACGGGCGAAGCTAGGATGACGACCGAATCCACGAGCGCATGCAGCATAGTGTCTAGACGCGCTCGGTCATATCATGCTGCCTAGTAAGTGGGTGCCATTGCTGTAGAAAAACAAGGAATTTGAACAAAGAGTCAGATGTCTGCCTCGGGAACACCTTCTCAATCACCATTTTATTTCTTGTCGTCCAAAGAGTCCATGACATGTCCGCAAAGATCAGCCAGAATATGCGACGGTGTCGTCCTGGCATGGTAGCCCTGGACTGGAGGAAGTCCACGAGATCCAGGGCCTCTTAGTCGGGCCCTAGTGCCTCACGGACGAACTGCCAAAGGATCCGAACTGCCATGCACGAGAATATAATATGGGCCACGGTCTCAGGGACCCTGCATAAAAGGCAAAGTCCATCACCCGGGCCATGTCGCTTGAGCACCTCGGTCCCCAAAGGGAGGCAATTTCTAAGAAGCTGCCAAACGAAGATCTTTATCTTCAAGGGCATGGGGGCCTTCCACAAGTTAGATAGCCAAGGGATAACGGGGAGGCGGCCTAGAGACTTGTATGCGGATTTGACGAAAAACTCACCTGAAGGTGAGAGCCGCCATGATACAGCTCCACTCAGAGGAGGAAGAGGACGAGGACGAGGAGACGTAGGATGTTAGCGTTTGAGGTGCGGCTCCTCATGTACGAGGCGACATAGTGGCACTACGAGCTCACGCTCGCGGAGGAGGCAGAGCACCGCGTTGTCCTCACTGACTGTGACGCGGTGGAGGAGCACCTCGCCATTGAGGCGTTGGTGGAGTCCTAAGCGCGAGGTTGCCGCCAATCCCGCGACATAGAGGGACCTTGAGGCTATGTTCGTGGAGCTCGGCTGTGACGATTCCATGACGAGCCAAGATGTCATGGATTTTGAGGGGCACCCACTTTCACGAGGCGTGAAGCTCTAACAAGGCGCCAGTGATCGACCTCTCCTCCGACGAAGAGTAGATGTATCTCATTTTAGCTGGAATGAAGAGTGCTAGTTAGTTTAATTTAGGTACTTCTATGTTCTATTAACGCGGCGGTGTTTTATGAAGAGTGGTTGTTAGTTTAATTTGTAGTCATTGCTAGATGGTCCATGGACCTGGTTATAATTTTTGTTATTTCTGGTTCTGTACTGTTATGACAGATGATGAATAAATTGAAAGGTTCTTCTGCAAAAAAATGTGGCAGTGTATTGTATAAAATTAACCACTAAGTTATCTAATCTAGTTTTACTATTTGTGCAAATTTGAGCTTCTGGGAGTAAAGAATTTTGGGAAAGAGCTATGTGCAAAAGGTTTTAAGGGCATCTCCAATGCTGACTCTTAAATAGGATACCGTATCTGTCCGTGGACTGATCCACGGACAATGATGCGGGAGCCGGTCATCCATCCTTGTTCCCTAAATGTCCGCCTCTGTTTTGGTTCTAAGACCGAAACACTAAAAAATAATTGCAGAAAATACCACAATTCATTCATAAATAACATGTAAATATCTCTAGTACAACAATAGTTCAAATGTAAATATTACATTCGGGACAACGGATGCTCAACAAGTTTTTCGAATTCATTAATTCCAAATTCAGTGATACTATTTAGGACATGCACAAGTCTTCCCACGCATACTGCCACTTGAGCTTCATCCAACAATGTTTATGTGTAAACGGTCTGCCTTTATTCCTGTAGTACATCTCGGCAATGCGTGCAGTCTATACAACATGTAAGGCGACATTAAGTGAATAAATGAATTAAACAACATGTAAAGTGACATGATGCAAAACTTACGATCTCCATGGTTGATGATGGCCACAACACAGAGTGTCTCCACTCGTGCAACCACACCACAAAACTTCATTACAGAGTTGTAGATGGTGTGTCATCGATGCGATATTGACTTCACGTTGCTTTGATGAATGATGTGCATGTCGTAGGGTGTGAAGTTCTTTCACGCATGAAACAGAACATGCACACACTGCCAAAAGATCGAGCCCATTTGAGTTCCTGCCTACAAAGTTCGCAGCTACGACCAACCACACATCGCACAATTCAGCCTCATTCGCCGAGTACCATATCATCGTGCTTACTCTAGAAAACAATAAGAAGTTCAACAAAAAAATTCAATGGCATTTGACCAAACACCCATCAAGCGTGGTGTCCGCCATCGACGTCGTCAGCAGGAGGGGGGGGGGGATCGTACCTGGCCGCGGAGAGATCCTGGGTGGACGACATAGTCCAAGGAGGACATACACGTTGGTGGGGGCTGCGGATGTCCTATGATGCCTGGGCGACAGCCGGAAAGATACATCGATGGCGTAAGACGAGGAGGGTGCGACTGCAAAGTAAGAGGAGAATGGACGGGGTGGAATAAAAGTGAACCAAGAGAGGGAGTCGAGTGAGCCGAAGGTATCGGAGTCCTACGTGGCAGCAGTTCGGACTCCCGCAAAGACACCCCCCCTCCCCTTCCCATCCCCTCTCCAATTTGCAGAAAAACGGATGATCCGCGTTGGAAATGACAAAACATGCCGGGATGATTTGAGGAGTTAATGGCAATGAGTAGAGATTCTCTTTGGACGTTTCGTGCGTATATCGCAACATCCGTATCATTTGAGCTACCGCAGCACGTAACAACTTTTACACTTCTAAAATTCCCTGGTGGTAACCTGGAATACAGACAGATGCTGCACTCCACGCTTCAGGTGACTCACGTCAATCTATGCCACTGCTTTCTAGTACTAGTCCCATCACTTCCACATTTCACGTATGAACGTACTTTTCATCGGATAACCTTACTGCTTTCCCCGGCAACCTTCTTCTTCTCCTACCACCGTACATTTACCAATAAACCAGATCAATAAACAAACTATCTATCTAATTTAGTGGAATGCACAACTCACACTTTTCAGATAATACAAATTTTACAGTGGTTGGCAATTTTAGGAACCATCCATCCATCACAATCTGACGATGGTAAAATATAATGTATCAGACTGAAAATACTTGAAAGTACTAGTACCTGTGGGACCGATATCAAAATTTTGTGGGATCAATACCAAAATCAAGCAAGTGAGATTTTGCAAATCCGGCGAAATGAATTTTTAGTTTATTATGGTAAGCAAAAAAATCTTGATGGGTGCAAGCCATGCACTTGAGGCTAAGACTGTGTTTGATAGCAAAGGGTGAAATAAACCGAAGTACCCAAAACTACAGTATTTTTGGTTGTAGGTATGAGATACCATGGTTTTATCAAAACACAGTATTTTAGAGTATTCACAATACATAAAACCTGTTTGGTTATTGCCACACAACGCTGTAAATTTTGCTGCCTAACCATTGCGTTCAAATACTTCAACAACTACCTAGCCGTTGCATTAGCAGTGCAAGCACGCGCAGCTAGCCGGCCGTTTGAATTCTGTTGCGGTTTTTTTAGCTAGCTAGCTGGTTATCCATTACCATCTTGCGTTCATAACAACCGAAACTACCCTCACAAAAAAAGATCTCATACAAAAAAGACCACCCACAGCACCACATCGCCTGTGACTTACCTGGTAGCGAGGCTACCTATAGAAGGATCAGCTTGGGAGCGGGGCCTTTTTTAGATCGAAGGAGTTGTTGAGAATAGCTGGGAGGAAGATAACGCACAGACCCTTCTTTTCGGCTGCTCTGTTTTTTAAAAAGAGGTGCGAGGTTCTTTTTTTTATGCAGAGAAAATACTATGGTTTAGAAAAAACTGCAGTATTAAAATCACAGTTTTTAGAGGCAGCCAAACAACCCTTTGTAAATAAAACTACAGTAATATAAAAAATTGTAGTATTCTGAGAATACTTAGAAAAAACTTTGTTATCAAACGGGGCC